AATGATCACGACTGCCAACGTGAAAATTAAACAACTGATAGATCGAATTGCTGTTGGCACTTCTGACTTGTGATTGTCGATTAATTTATATTATATTTTAATATTTTTATTAAATATGTTAAATTTCAAAAGTTTCTGTAAAAATCAAGTTATAAAAAATTTTATGAGAAAAGTACGATATATATGTTGAAACTTTAAATATGTCTAAAATGAAACTTATGTTGTAATAGAAATGAAATTTATATTCAGTTTTATTATTAGTATGGAATAAATAAATATTATTACTTTGTATGAACGCGTTTCTGCACTAAATAAATTTTAATAAATTTTAAGTCGGTGAAACAATCGATTTTTAATGGCTATGTTCTATTGCTTGTTATTTTCCTCTTTTTTTTGGTCATCTAATTTGTTCGGGTTAGTAGGTTTTGATAGGATTTCAGCCGCGCTCGTGTAGAAAAATCTCTCAAAAAATTGGCAACCCTGATAAGAATGGTGGAAATGGTGAAATCCATGGAAGAAGGAGAAACTTAAGATGTGAGGTCTTATTGTCTCTCTCCAAGTCTCCAATAAAAGGAAGCTGAACAAAGCTGAAGCAGGGAAGAGAAACAAGAAAGAAGAATCTTGAAGTAGGGATGCTCAATCTCGGCAAAAGAATCGATTTTTTTAATCGCAAGTGTAAGTATCGATACACGAAAAAATCGAGCATCAAAGAATCGATTTAGCGAAAATCGATCTAAAAAATGGAGGATGGAGACTAATTGAACATAGTGTCCCTAAATACAGAGTCTGGTCAAGATGTTGCGCTTAAGGAATTGCACTAGTGGAAACTAGTGTCCCTAAATACAGAGTCTGGTTAAGTCATGTATCTCTTTTGATTGGGTCACGTCAGCGCGAACACACAATGGCGTTACCAATGAAAACGTTGATAAATCGCGCGCTTATTTAAAGAACTAAAAACATGAAATATTGTAAAATATTTATTGCAATTCATATACTGTAAATAAGTTATTCTCGCTTTATTATTATATAACAATATTATTTAATAAGAGAATGCATTGCCATGATTTTGCTATTATATGTTTTGGTTAAATATTGTCGCTTGCATGAAATACGTACTCTATATATGATAAAGCGTTTTTTTATTTTTAACATTAAGTTATGGCAATTTATAATTTTATTACATGTAATGTTCTGCATTTCCCTCATATAAAATTCTAAAAAATTAGTCGACGTATTTTTAACATATGGTAAATATTTTCTTATTATAATTTCCATTGCACAAAAATATTGAAATGTTTCATCGTTAACAAAAAATAGTGTTTTTTTACGGTAGCATCTTAATTGCACAAATTTAGTATAATTTTGTTTGGGATTATAATTTTTGGATCCAATTGAATTTAAACATTCTTGGCATGTTCTACTACATTTAATAATACTAGATATTAAGTAACCAGCTATGTTAAATAAAATATTTAATTCTATATTATTTAAAGTAATATTAGCGTTTGCATTCACAAAATGTGATGTATTCAATGAAGTTTGTGCACATTTTTTTAACTCTTTTGCTTTTTTAGGTTGATTTAAAATATCACCAATTAATTGCCCATCATCTGTCTCATAATTAGATGTACGAGTTGATTTTAAGTACTGCGATATTGCAATAAGTTTTAAGTTCTGTTTAAATTGCAAGGAATTAGGAATAGGGTTCTTTGTTCTTATACAAGAAAACAAATTCTCGAGGCAATCTTGCGTAAAACGACCAGTTAAAACAAAACTATATTTTCTATTGTCAATTAAATATTGTGTCAATTCAATAATAGAAGTTGTTATCATTACACCACTTTGGACAGGTTTAAATTTAGACTGATCACCAATTTTAATGTCTCTGAAGAGTTCCACAACAGATATAAGAAAAGCAATACTCTCATAAAATTTTGTTTCTTTGTCTTCACCTCTTGCGTGTTTTCCTAGTGCAACTGATACTCTTCGTGATGTTACTAAGGTAAACCACTTGGACACAACTTCAATAAATGCCGCTGTTGTATTAAATTCTTTTTTCTTGTTCTCATCCGCATAGAAATACATTGCGCTACTGACATCCCGATTCCACACATTTACCGCTTTACTAACTTTCATTTTGTTAAAAGTACTACACATCAGGTCCCTTTTATTAATCTTGGGTATTAATTTAAAATGTAAGTTTTCTTGTATGTCAACTAATTCATGTAAATGTTGGACCTTAACAATTGGCTGCGATAAATTGTGTTTTGTGATGAATTCTGTAGGCAACTCTATGACCTTGTTATTTAATAAACAAGCTTTTAAATTTTTTAGTAAATGTGGGGCATCGGCCATAAAAAATAATCGTCGATTACTATCTATAGGATGAACAGTAGAATTTCTTATTGAATGTCTGTTACTCATAATACCTCCAAATGCTCTCCACATTCCTAAATTTACCGGACCCATATCACAGGTTATACTATGAACGTACAAACCAACGGCTTCTGCTTTTTCAATTATTATTTCTATGATGGGTTTCAAAATAGCACCATCTACACTATCAGGAGTAAAGTGATAAGCAACAGGTAGTTTCCATCGTCTGTAAATGCCTCCAAGCATGAAAACTAACGCATGAGTAGCGTTTGTAATTTTACCTATATTAATGTCCAATTAAAAAACAATAAATATTATACAGGTTTCAGTAGATACATATATACCAATTACATTTCATAAGTCAAGTCAAAATGATATCTATCCTGATCAATAAAAATTATTAATATGAGACATATACACATATGTAAATCTTGCAAATAGATAAAGATAGACATGTCCTTTACACTTAACTTACTAAAAGCGTTTTCGAAAATGCTATAAATCTAGTTCGGGTTAATCATTATAAATGGCTGTACAATTACCACTTCTATCGGGAAGAGTTGAGAGACCGATACGTGTCATTGTGCTTTGATCGCATTGTTCTCCTGCGGTAATACTCATCTCATCGAGAGTAAGCATGCAATCTCTTTCTTGATCTTCGGTGAAGTGTGATACTCGTTCTCTTAAAATGTCAAACATTTCGTCACCAACGCCAGGTTCAAAATCAATTCCTTCTAGTCTTCTTCTGAGGGTTCGTTCTGAAGGTAAAGGAATATTCTGTTTCAATATCTCGTTGTAGCCGCTACTGCCACAAGATAATTTCAATGTAAGGGCTTTTCGGATAGTATCATTAGACCATCTGTCAACTCGTCCACGTGGCCTACAGAGAGTCTCAATTTGATCGTCATTAAACACTTGTTCCAAGTTCTTGCTTTGTTTCAAATGACACATTTCTTTTATTAATTTCTCTTTTTCACATGTCAGCCGTCTAACACGTTTTAACAACATTCCCTTTGATTTCATAAGTTTATTAATTATCTTGTTCGCTCGAAGAAGCTTCAATTTTGCTGTTCTTGATTCTGACATAGCTTTCTGAATTTTTCTATCAGCTTCTTCCACGTCAACTTTTTCAACGTCAACTGTGTTCAATGGCACGGGTATAACTGCTTGTGAAATGGGTGTTGACATTATCGAGACTGAATTTTCTGTTTCTTCATTATGGATGTTTCTTGTCAATTCGGTAAATGATTCGGCAATATTAATAGTTGATTCTATTTCTTCTATATCCTTTGCTAACACATTGTCTGACATATCTTCATAATTTGTTTTGTCTTCTAAGTTGTTTACTGTTTCAGTGTTGATATCCATCTGTAATGGATATATAACACTATATTATTATTAATTATAAATATATTGGCATGTAAATTCTTAAAAGCAGATATACACATATATTTTTATTGCAATAAAACTGCAGTAAAAACTTACATTTAAACATGTTTCAGCAACGTTTGTACTTTTACCCGGCAAACACATCGTTGGAATTGCGTTATATTTTAATTTCTTTTTCCCGTCAACCCGTGGGCGTTCCCACATTTCGGGTGCAAAGTGTACCTGTTGCATATAAGTAATATTAATTACGATTGTAAATGTTGCAAAAGCTGTTTGCATAAATCTTACCTGGCATACAAAATAAAGTTTTGAAGGGTCCAAATCGGACCTACCAATATTATTCGCCCATTCGTTTCTTCTTTTAACGTCCGTTGGAATGCGAGACATATAATAATGTTTTTTTGACGAATTATTGCACTTTGAAATGCAACAAGAAGGCATCGTGTGTACGGTGTGTACCCTATAAATAACCTAAATAACTTTCGTCCTCGTGCACTGAAAGTGAAAAGTGCAGAGTGCACGCACTCAAACATTTACCCCCACCACTTATAGACGCCATTTTGTGGGATCTTGGCCAGACTCTGTATTTAGGGACACTAGTTGAACACTGAAGCCCTACCAAAAAAAAAGAAAAAAAGAAAAAAGATCACACGTACGTCCTTGTACCATTTATACAGGGTAAAATATATACGTGTTATCTATTCTTTTTATTTTATTTATTTTATTGCACAGTAAATACAGTATTGCATATAGTAAATAATATATCATAATAACATAGAGTGCTTTCCAGCAAAGACACAGTCAGATATTGGCTGCGTTCAGCAGACTCAACAGAGTTCAATTCGTGACTGTGCATGTCAACGTACCTTGTTTCTGTTTGATTGAATTTTGAACTAAACATAAACCGTAAAAATTTAATCCGATGTGATTTACGATGCCCAAGCGAGTGTGCTGTGTTCGAAATTGTGACTTCAATCCATATAGTGAATCGTTTTATCCTTGTTTAACGTAAACAAGCAATAAGAATGTAATGATTCACTGTGTTACACTGTGTCTAATTGTGTCCTTGTTGGAAAGCACTAATAATTTATTTTACTTTGTGTCCCAAGTGCCAATCGGAAATATCTAATGAACTTAAAAATAATAATCGGGATAATCGGTCACCCTTAAAACAGTTACGATTATCCGTCATAATGTTTCCTGTCCGCGAAAACATTCGTTCCGATGGAACTAATGTTCCTACCACTGACAAATGTTCAAGAGCTATACTACTTAAATGTTTGCTTGTAGCATTATAGGAAATCCAATATTCTATTGGATTAGATTTTAATGGTATAATTGGCTGACTTAGATAATTTTTTAACTCTATGTGTAAATTTAATCCAGAACTGTCTTCACTTATGTTACGGTTCATTTTAATCATTAAAGTTAAATTATGCTTACACCATAGATTTGAAATCTCTTCTACTTCTTCTACAGGAGATTCAACCCTAATGTATTCATTATTTTGTGCGTTTTATTTGTTTGTCTATTTTCAAAATTGCATTTGCACATGCTAAATTTGATCGAAAATACATTTTTTTAAAGCGTGGATCCAAAACAGTGGCTATGGCCAAAAGTTCATTGTTTTCAATTGAATTAAACCGAGAATCTATTTCATACATAATATATTTTTTCAAGTTTTTGCCTATTTCTGATTCTGGGTGGAGCTCGTACATCTTATCATATAATAAATATACCATTGGTATGATTTTACTACTAGTAATATTTTTTTCTGCACTAATTTCTCTGGTTATTTCCTCAAACGGTTGCAACATTTTTATGCACTCGTTTGCAATTGCAACCTCAGAGGCTGTTAACATTTTTGGCGAATTTTTTAATTTTATAAGTACAGGCGTGATATAATCGATTAATTATACAAATCTTTTTAACATATAATATGTAGATGACCAACGAGTCGAAACCTCATGAATTAATTTTAACGGTGTTTCAGAAGAATTCGTTTGTTGAATCTCTCGGAATTCATCTGCCGCAACGACGCTGTGCTTAAAATAAGATACTATTGTTTTTATTTTGTCTACTAGACTTTTCAGATCTGAGAGATTCTCGAGCATTTTTGCGGGGATCAAATTTAACGTGTGAGAAAAACACGATAAATGTTTGTCACTACCAAAAACTTGACGAATCGTGCTCACTATGTATATTTGCAACATTATCCGTCACTACAGCCTTAATTTTGGATATAGGTATGTTCCAATTATTACACATGGATAAGAGCATTTCTCCCAAATACTCTCCGGTATGCCACTAATCTAATTCAAAAACACCCACCGTTGTGGACGTAATTGTAAATATAATGAATAGATACGCCTAAATAGCTGACGGTATTCAACACTTCCGTCCACACATCACACGTTAGTATGACGTTCTCTACGGCTTCAAGTTTTCGCTTGATTAAAAGTGACAAGACCTCGTATTTTTTTATCTATTAAGTCTGTGAACTGCTGGCGTCCTGGGATCTTGTAGAGTGGAGCGACAAGCTTTAATAAATACTGACAATCCTCTTTGTTAATGGTATTTAAAGGCATATTATCCTTTGTGACCATAAATAACAGAGCGTTTGTGATATCTGCAGCTTTAGAACCACCATCTGCAAATATGAAAAAAAGTCAATCATTATTATAAATTATAGTAGATATAAACGTATCCTTAATTATTATAAATATTTTTCATACAATAAAAGATAATGTATAGATGAATAGAAAACAATACTTGAAATTTCTTGTAAATATGTAAATTTGAAAATTTTGCTACAAATATTTTCAATTCTTTTAAAAGTCGACATTTGATTGTACTTTTAAACATTTCTATTTGTGTGTAATGTTATAATGCTTTTTAAATGTGATATAATTATATGGATTTAGAGTATTTAGAGTAAGCATATTTTACGACGTAACAAATGTTATTATGTGAACACTTTACCTTCAAATGATTTGATTTTAGATATAGCATTGTCAATGCATGATTGCGAATTATAATGATCAGAACTTTTGAATTTTGCCCCTTGCATCGGATTCGATGTAACAAATGTATGAAATTTTTTGCAAACGAGGGCTGTGCACAAAATTCATATGCAGTATAAAATTTAACTCAGTGATGTGAAAAACGAAAAAAATTGTTATAAAAATGCTTGACAAGATAAGTTGACAAGTATAAATTTTGAAATTGTGTCCTTGTTGGAAAGCACTAATAATTTATTTTACTTTGTGTCCCAAGTGCCAATCGGAAATATCTAATGAACTTAAAAATAATAATCGGGATAATCGGTCACCCTTAAAACAGTTACGATTATCCGTCATAATGTTTCCTGTCCGCGAAAACATTCGTTCCGATGGAACTAATGTTCCTACCACTGACAAATGTTCAAGAGCTATACTACTTAAATGTTTGCTTGTAGCATTATAGGAAATCCAATATTCTATTGGATTAGATTTTAATGGTATAATTGGCTGACTTAGATAATTTTTTAACTCTATGTGTAAATTTAATCCAGAACTGTCTTCACTTATGTTACGGTTCATTTTAATCATTAAAGTTAAATTATGCTTACACCATAGATTTGAAATCTCTTCTACTTCTTCTACAGGAGATTCAACCCTAATGTATTCATTATTTTGTGCGTTTTATTTGTTTGTCTATTTTCAAAATTGCATTTGCACATGCTAAATTTGATCGAAAATACATTTTTTTAAAGCGTGGATCCAAAACAGTGGCTATGGCCAAAAGTTCATTGTTTTCAATTGAATTAAACCGAGAATCTATTTCATACATAATATATTTTTTCAAGTTTTTGCCTATTTCTGATTCTGGGTGGAGCTCGTACATCTTATCATATAATAAATATACCATTGGTATGATTTTACTACTAGTAATATTTTTTTCTGCACTAATTTCTCTGGTTATTTCCTCAAACGGTTGCAACATTTTTATGCACTCGTTTGCAATTGCAACCTCAGAGGCTGTTAACATTTTTGGCGAATTTTTTAATTTTATAAGTACAGGCGTGATATAATCGATTAATTATACAAATCTTTTTAACATATAATATGTAGATGACCAACGAGTCGAAACCTCATGAATTAATTTTAACGGTGTTTCAGAAGAATTCGTTTGTTGAATCTCTCGGAATTCATCTGCCGCAACGACGCTGTGCTTAAAATAAGATACTATTGTTTTTATTTTGTCTACTAGACTTTTCAGATCTGAGAGATTCTCGAGCATTTTTGCGGGGATCAAATTTAACGTGTGAGAAAAACACGATAAATGTTTGTCACTACCAAAAACTTGACGAATCGTGCTCACTATGTATATTTGCAACATTATCCGTCACTACAGCCTTAATTTTGGATATAGGTATGTTCCAATTATTACACATGGATAAGAGCATTTCTCCCAAATACTCTCCGGTATGCCACTAATCTAATTCAAAAACACCCACCGTTGTGGACGTAATTGTAAATATAATGAATAGATACGCCTAAATAGCTGACGGTATTCAACACTTCCGTCCACACATCACACGTTAGTATGACGTTCTCTACGGCTTCAAGTTTTCGCTTGATTAAAAGTGACAAGACCTCGTATTTTTTTATCTATTAAGTCTGTGAACTGCTGGCGTCCTGGGATCTTGTAGAGTGGAGCGACAAGCTTTAATAAATACTGACAATCCTCTTTGTTAATGGTATTTAAAGGCATATTATCCTTTGTGACCATAAATAACAGAGCGTTTGTGATATCTGCAGCTTTAGAACCACCATCTGCAAATATGAAAAAAAGTCAATCATTATTATAAATTATAGTAGATATAAACGTATCCTTAATTATTATAAATATTTTTCATACAATAAAAGATAATGTATAGATGAATAGAAAACAATACTTGAAATTTCTTGTAAATATGTAAATTTGAAAATTTTGCTACAAATATTTTCAATTCTTTTAAAAGTCGACATTTGATTGTACTTTTAAACATTTCTATTTGTGTGTAATGTTATAATGCTTTTTAAATGTGATATAATTATATGGATTTAGAGTATTTAGAGTAAGCATATTTTACGACGTAACAAATGTTATTATGTGAACACTTTACCTTCAAATGATTTGATTTTAGATATAGCATTGTCAATGCATGATTGCGAATTATAATGATCAGAACTTTTGAATTTTGCCCCTTGCATCGGATTCGATGTAGAGAGTGATGATTTTTTAAATACCGCTGCTTTATCCTATAAAGACAATATTTTACAATGACAAAATACATAAACACACATATACAGGGTGTTTACAGGGGGTTTACAGGGGGACAAGATAAGTTGACAAGTATAAATTTTGACACATACATATATATGTCATGAATTATTATATTCCATTTCTATCTCTCTCTCTCTCTCTCTCTCTCTCTCTCTCTCTCTCTCTCTCTCTCTCAGTTAAGTATGTGTAATTTGCAAAGTATTACATTTGTAGAAAAGCAAAAGAAAAAAAAAACGATTTCATCAATTTGAATTTATAATTATAAATACCATATTTTATAAATTATCCCTTATTGACATAATTTTGCTACGACATATGATCTCTGATCAGAGTGAGAGACGATGTAAGTACAAAAATATAGAATGGTATTTAAGTCGTGTCTTTATTGTTTAAATATTAAGTACTTATGAATAAAGCCGGCGGCACACGATACGTTTTTCTGCTGGATTAGAATCTTGTCACCGTATTTGCTGCGGTGCTTGCAGTGCCGTTAGTGCCAGCATTGGAGCCAATACGGTGGCAAGATTGATTGTGCCGCTGGCTTTATAGATTGTTTTTCTTTTTTTTTATTACGCTGTATATTGCGTTTCCAAATTATACATACCGGATGTTTATTTAATATAACGGATTTTTCTACCAATTTATTGGATTATTCCTTAATATCAAGGAAGTCATCGTTTATTTTTTAATTTTTTACATTATAGTATCTTTGCAACTATACCTATTAAATATATTTAATATTTTCTTAAATTCCGTCTAAAATTAAATTATATAT